CTAAAAACTGGTGGCTCTTATTCAGTTGAAGGAATAAATGACACTAAAGATTTTGCAGAAACTCTTTCTGGTGAGTTTTTCTATATGAACGATGTACTCTTATTCTAGTCAGACTACTCATCTATTTCTTTGCATTTTGATTCGCAGCTTTGAAAGTTATGGGATTTTCTGAGGTTGAGCAACGGGATATTTGGAATATTGTTGCTGCAATTCTACACCTCGGTAATGTGAATTTTAGGGAAAATGGCAATTATGCTCAAGTTGCTGATTCCTCAGGTATTTACCTTCTCTCTTAAGCGAGCATGATACTTGTTATATTGTAAGCTTGAAATCTTTTATGTTGCAATTTTTTATCTTAAGCATTAGACTGGCCAGCTTATCTCTTGGGCATAGATAAAACACTACTGGAGAGTAAACTGACAAGCCGCCTGTTTGAGAGCAAGTGGGGCACTAAAGACGAATCGGTTAATGTCACTTTAAATGTTGAACAAGCTATTTACACAAGAGATGCTCTTGCGAAAGGTGTATACGCTAAGCTCTTTGACTATCTAGTACAGGTATGTTCAATTTGCCATTTAGCTCACCACACAATAAGAGCATTCCCATTGATAAATGTAACAAACTATTTTGGTTGTAGAGAATCAATGCAGCAATGTTCACTGAAAGTAGAGGAAACAATATAGGAATACTTGATATTTATGGTTTTGAGATTCTTGATAAGAACGGCTTTGAACAACTATGTATCAATTTTGTTAATGAGAAATTGCAACAAATTTTTATTCAACTAACACTGAAAGCAGAGCAGGTTTGTCTTTTGAAATAGGTTATTTTGGATTGTCTGTTTTATATTTTTATTTCGCTTTATTTATGTGTCTGGCCTGTCATAATTTACTATTAGGAGGAATATGTAGCAGAAAACATTACATGGACGCCTATAGACTATTTCAACAACCAGGTTGTATGTGAACTCTTAGAAGGGCGTCAACCTCCTGGTGTATTTCTTGTGTTGGATGATGTGTGTGCAACTCTGCATGCAGTCGCGGATGGAGCTGATAATGATTTGCAGAAGGTAATTTTTCCTGTCTAGAAGTTAGAAGTAGATCATTTTAATGCATGTGTGGTTATTTTATAATTTTATAAGAAGTATCTTTGATCAAGCTTCTGTCAGTCCATAGTGTCAACAGGTGCTGCCTGCATTACTTTGCTCAAAAAATACTAGAATTGGAATTTGAGACATTTTTACGACAGAGTCTGTCTTTTTTTTCTTCAGAAACTTAATGGAACTGCCAGCAGCCATAAGCATTTTTCTCCATCAGCAGATGGCTTTGTTGTGAAGCATTATGCAGGAGTCGTTAGTTATTCAGTAGATGGTTTCTGTGATCGAAATAGGGATGTCTTTTTCCCAGACCTCATACAGCTGCTGCAGTCTAGTTCATGGTGAGTTTCTTAAAACCAGAACTTTTAAGAGTAATTTTGCAATATGCCATGACTTTCACTTCTAAATTTCATTTAAATGTCATTTTATGTTGTTTGTTTTTTAAAATTAATTACAACTATACTTCAAATTTTACAGTCAAATCATACATGGCCTTTTTCCTGAGCCCCCAACTAGATCAAGACCCACCACTGCGGGGAACAAGATTCGGTCTCAAGCAGGGGAGCTAGTCGCAAAACTGATGCAGTGTGCTCCTCATTATGTGCGCTGTATCAAGCCCAATGAAACAAAGCGACCAAGGGAATGGGATGAACTGCGAGTCAAACACCAAGTGGAATATCTTGGTTTGCGTGAAAATATATCAGTTCGCCGAGCAGGGTTTGCCTATAGAAGACCCTTTGAAAAATTCCTCCAACGGTAAACTTTGAAATTTGCAATGCATTAAAAGTAGATTCTTTTTTGTAGCAAGTTATTATAGATGGGCTCTTTCATAATTAATTTTCACTGCTTATAGGTATGCCATTTTAACAAAGGAGTCATGGCCAATGTGGAGAGGAAATGTCAGAACAGGTGTGAAGCATATTTTATCATCGGCTGGATTTAAAGAGGGCAATGAATTTCAACTAGGGCTGACAAAAGTTTTCATAAAAAATCCAGAATCAGTGAGTATCCCTAGATTGCATGTCTTCTTAAGTTTTCTAGTAGATAAGAAATACTAATCAAAACATGATGTAGCTTTTTCATCTAGAAGAGCTGCGAGAGCAACAGTTTGATAAACATGCAAAAATTATTCAGAGGGCTTTTAAAAAGCATTTTGCTCAAAAACAGCAATGTACTCAAAGAGAAGAAGCTGCAGGTATATTTTTACAGTTCATATTTTTTTTTATTTCTGGTGACATATTATATTATAATTCTTTCTGTTCTATTTTTGTAGCTTTATTCCATGGAAAGAAGGAGCGCAGAAAATTGTCAATAAATCGTCATTTTGTAGGAGATTACCTTGGCGTTTCTAGTCAGCAATCAGAGCTCCAAACTATGATTGGCCGAAGGGAAAAAATATTGTTTTCCATTCCAGTCATTAAATATGACCGGCGTTTTAAAGTAAGTTTGTATTGTAGCTTCAAATTCTTCCCTGTAAAAGTTTAATTTACTTAATTTACTCATCTGTAGTACTAATTTAATTACAAATTATAGCCAAGTGCTCGTGACCTAGTCCTTACATCACGCTCCCTGCTTCTTATCAATTCGGAGTCTCAAACTGGAAGTAATGGCAACCAGCCAGTGATCAAAAGAAATATCCCATTTCCAAATATAAGCCATGTAACTCTAAGCTCTTTCCAGGTAATTTTAGCTCATACATAATTACTGTCAATTTGTGATTTTTAAAATATGTTTTTATTTTATTTTAAAATGTTTTGTTAAATTTAGCTCTAATGAATTTTGCACATTTAATTTCAGGATGACTTTGTTCTGCTGCATGTTAACGATGACTACGACTCACTTTTAGAAGTTCCAATGAAGACAGAGTTCATTTATGTTCTTCATAAAAGATATGTTACTCAGACAGGAAGACACCTCAGGATTTTATTTTCCAACAGGTTGTTAAATTGGTGTTCTGAGCTAAAAAGTAGCCGATACAAAAATAAGATACAGTAAAAACTAATAACTTGATTTTGCAAATCTTTTAGTGTTGAGTTTTCTGTGAAGAAGACTGGACTTGGAGGAGGTGGTAAACGTAATGTGGTGTTTGTTCCAACAATTGCAAACCTTAGCATTCCATCCCTAAAGGTAAATGGGAACACTCTAACTGTTGGAATTGGAGCTGGCCTCCCATCTGATGTAACGTGTAAGTAATGAAAAATATATTTTTTAGTTTACTTTGTGAGCCTTTTGTAAAAATATTGCCTTGGCTCCATATTTTTCTAAACAGTGCCTCCACTGAGGACACATTCGCCACAAAAAGCGAAAAAGTCACATCCGAGGAGGGCTAAACCCAAGACACTGAACAGTGTCCCGACTCGTCCAGCTCCTACTCGAGCGGCGCCTCCTCCTCCAGTTCAGCAACCTCCTACCCATTCCCTTTCACCAACTCTTCCCTCAGATGCACTGAATGGTAGGACTTTCACTTGTGAACGTATTCAAAGATACCAAAGCACTAAAAACCAGAAGACTTACTTAAAAGTACTCTTTTAAAATATTACAGGTTCAAGACGTGTAATGCACTCTGTCAAACAAGAAAATAGTCCACCTGCACAGCAAACTGGAAAGTTACCAAATGACCTCAACAGAGCAACCAATGCTAGCCCTCAGATCAAGCCTACAAGAAACTTGTTATTGGATAATAATCAGGATGCCACTAATTGTGTAATCAATAATAACAGACCCATTAATGTCTTTAAACATGAGTTGAATGAGAAGGTTACTGTAAAGTCACCAGTTGATTTTGGTCAAGAACTCACCAATACAATTAAACGTATGAAAGCTAAAGAAAAGGTGAAACCTTTCGAAAATTCTAATAGGTGTGTATAGGTATCATTTATTAACTAAAAACTTGTATGTGTTTAAATCCTACAACAATTCGACATGTGTCTTATCTTTGTATTTACCAGAACTGCTTCTGAAACAATATCTACTAACAGTAGTGTGTTACCTGAAAAACCTATTCCTGGAGGTAAGGGGTTGAATGGGAAGGTTTCTGAAAAGTCACCAGTTGATTTTGGTCAAGAACTCACCAATACAATTAGACGTATGAAAGCTAAAGAAAGGGTGAAACCTGTTGAAAGTTCTAATAGGTATGTATTGGTATCTCCTATTAACTAAAAATTGGTAATCATTTTAATCCTATAACAATTTTCTTTGAATTTACCAGAACTGGTTCTGATACAATATCTACTACAAACAGTATTGTGTTACCTGAAAAACCAATTCCTGGAGGTGGTCGGCCAAGACCAACACTCAAACCTAGTCTGATAAAAGTCAAAGCTGTCTACGACTATCAAGCTCAAGACGCTGATGAGCTCAGTTTAAAAGAGGGGGACTTCATTGACCTCATTAAGGAGCGTAAGTTTTCTGGTATACACCTATTGGTAACTAAATCTTAATAAACAATCTGAAATCATATTTGAAAATTACCCTTTGCAGATCCTGGTGGGTGGTGGCAAGGAAGGCTAATGGGGAAGGAGGGTCTGTTTCCCGCAAACTATGTCCTCAAAGTATAATGATGTTTCTCTCCTAAGTCAATCTCTTAAAATATAGCTAATATTTTCTTGTTGGTAAACATAAACCAAAATCATTGTAAACCGCTGCAATGCAAAGACAATGCAAAGACAAAATGATCTACATCTTTTGAGTCAATTAATCACTTAGTCTGACTGGGTCTGTAGGGACCTGTAGTACAATAACTATAATGCATTTTGCATTGAATAATGACTAACAATTTTTTTTTCTGACTTTATTAGGTTGATCTAATTTGAACTACATTGTAAAATTGTTCTTGTAATGTTGTCTCCAAGTTACCAGTATGTTGGTTATCCAAAGTTGTGATAATACCTTTGCTTAAAAACATTATCTGTTTCTATTTAGGCTGTGCACGGCTGCTTAAGATGTTGACCCTGTCTAATTTAAAGAATAAAGACATAATTAGTTCACTGACATGAATTAAATTTTACTCCTCCTCTTTTCTTTTGGTAACCATTTCAGAAATAACATTAAAAGGTACCTGAACACACACGTCTGTCAAATGTCCCGCGACAAAAGAACAACAGAACCGTCACAGAAAACTTCCAAATTTCGCGCGCTTCTCTCACTTCTTGTGACCACTACACTCCACCAAACCACAAATACTTCTCGTCGGCTCCGTGTAGAATCAACGCAGGAACGCGGGCAGAAAGCAACAGTAAGTCCTTCGTCAAATAATTGAACGTTATGAAGAGCATGTGAAAGCCTCTCTCTTATCTCACCACAATCTTCACATTCGGTGGAATTTAACGTTATTTCATTCGAGTACAATCCCCTGCGTCCCCGCCCCCTCCCCCTCGTCTGCGGCTCATTCAGTCAGGGTTTAAGGTTAGGTTTTGGCCCACAGATTGGGTTGTCACCTGTCATACGAAAAAAAAAATACCTTTCAACGGCCCCGATTAAAACACTGTGCTTACCGTGTCATGAATGATCATCAACGACTTCCAACTATGCGCTGTCGGTAATAATTTGAGCGTTAGAACTGCACATTCGTATTATTAAATCATACATTGACGTGCTGGCCCTAGTACTCGGCCCGAAAGCAGTGCTGATTGACTGTAGGTCGTTTTGAAGAGTGGGACCCTTTTGCTAATTAGTGAAGAGTTCTGCAAATCAACACTATGGAACCCTACGATGCCATTGTGAACCAGCCTGTGGTTATTGACAACGTAAGTTTCGTTTTACTGTTACGAAATCTAACCTATACTTGACACGTCCGGCCCACTTTAAATCAAAAATGTTAGTCCTTTGATTTTAACTTCCACATGTTTTTTAGGGTTCCGGAGTCATCAAAGCTGGTTTTGCTGGAGATCAAGTGCCCAAGTGCTGCTTTCCTAACTAGTAAGTTGACTACTTTATTCAGTTGTTATAGACCTGAGGACAATGGTTCATTTGTAATCCTGTATTGTTTTTCAGTGTTGGGAGGCCAAAACATGTACGCGTCATGGCTGGTGCCTTAGAAGGTGATCTATTTGTTGGTCCTAAAGCAGAAGAGCACCGTGGTCTCCTCAGTATACGATATCCTATGGAGCATGGTATTGTAACAGATTGGAATGATATGGAGCGTATTTGGCAGTACATCTACAGGTATTTGATTGCTTTTCAATGGAACAATACAAACTTGAAAAAGTATCTTCTAATAATTCTTATGCCTGATTATAATTTATTTCTTTTATAATTTCAGTAATGATCAGCTTCAGGCATTTGCTGAGGAGCATCCAGTTCTCCTCACAGAGGCTCCACTTAATCCCAAAAAGGATAGAGAAAAGGCAGCTGAAATATTTTTTGAATCCCTCAATGTTCCTGCCCTCTTTGTGTCAATGCAGGCAGTGTTGAGCTTGTACGTATCCACACTTTTAATATAATGTTAATGTTATTCACTTGTCATTGCCAAATTATCTTTGATCCAAAGTTGTCTTGTAAATTGTCACTGATAAGAGTGTCGTCTTTGTGCTTTCAATGTCGTGGTATATTACAGATACGCTACTGGACGAACAACAGGTGTGGTCCTGGATGCTGGTGATGGAGTTACTCACGCAGTTCCCATTTACGAGGGCTTTGCCCTTCCTCACAGTATCATGCGGGTGGATGTTGCTGGCAGGGATGTCTCACGGCACCTCAGGTAAATTTTGATGAATAATTGGGATCAGATTTCCAAGTGATATATGAAGTTGTTTTTATGAATACCCAATCTACTCTTTTGTATTTCTTTTTAATAGGTTATTATTAAGGAAAGAGGGTTTGAATTTCCGCACAACTGCTGAATTTGAGACTGTCCGTACCATCAAAGAGAAGTGTTGTTACCTAGCAAACCAGCCATTAAAAGAAGAAACTGTGGAGTCTGAGAAATTCCAATACACACTTCCTGATGGTAGTAAACTTGAGGTAAAATATCCTGATGAAATTTGTTGTCTTGTTCCCTTTTAACCTGATCTCTTAACCATTTTATGGAAATTCATCTGTTCAATTTTTAAATCAGATTGGCTCAGCCCGCTTCCGAGCCCCAGAGGTACTTTTCCGTCCAGATTTAATTGGAGAAGAGTGTGAAGGAATTCATGAAGTCTTGTTGTATTCAATCACTAAGTCTGATTTAGACCTTAGGAAGGTTCTCTTCCAGAATATTGTTCTCTCTGGAGGTTCAACACTGTACAAGGTACTTGGATTGTTGATTTTTTAATTCCATCAGTCATCGTTTAGTTATTTATTTTCTCTGTTTTTAATTATTTAATTTTTTTCAGGGCTTTGGAGATCGTTTATTATCAGAAATTAAGAAACTGGCCCCTAAAGATGTCAAAATCAGAGTAAATATTTATTCTAGAAAATTTTATCATTCGTTCAAGTTTTATTTTACACTACAATTATTTGCATCTTTTCTGTTATAGATATCAGCTCCCCAAGAACGCCTCTATTCAACTTGGATTGGTGGGTCCATTTTGGCATCTCTGGATACTTTTAAACGGATGTGGGTATCTAAAAGAGAATTCGATGAAGATGGTCACAGAGCAATCCAAAGGAAAACATTCTAGATATGGTAGTCAATGGTATGTAATAGATTGCTGATATCAAATACAGTTTTTCTTGTGATTAGCTTTGCTTTCCAGGTTTTAGTTTTTCATATTTAATACAATATGTAAGTTATGTATCTGAAGGCTGTGATCAGCTCAACCCTGTCTAAAATTTGTTCCAACCATCAACCCATAATGGTGATATCCTTAATTCCACAGAATTTTTAAAATGAAGCAAAATTCTTGTTCTTGTGCAATATTTTAGAAAACTATCATGTGTGTATGTTTACACCTAATGGTTTTACTTGTTGGGCTCATAGATTTTAATGTTAGGTTCTCCTCTGATTGCCTGGTCTGAAAAAGCGGTTTCTAATTTATTTGCTTTGAGGATTTGTCTTATCGATTTTCCTTATCTTCATAATTTATTTTCGGAAGCAAAGTTTTGTAATAGTGGTTAATTAAATTTTAATACTAATATATCTAATTATGGTACAGAGTGTACCTCTTGTACCGGTCTAATACAATTATACTGGTAGGAAGAGTAAAATCTTTTATACAGATTATATTTGTGTCAGATGTGCTTTTCTGCATTTTCAAACAACAATGCATTTGAATTTTTATGAATATTTAGGGGCCACAGCTGTGCCTGGAATGGTGCTACATATTTTCGGTC